GTTTATTTATCTTTGAGAGATAGAGCACGAGCAGGGGAGGGGCAGAGAGAGAGGGGGAGACGCAGAATCCGAAGCCGGCTCCAGCCTCTGAGCTGTCAGCACAGAGCCCGACGCGGGGCTTGAACTTGCGAACCGCGAGATCACGACCTGAGCCGGAAGCCAGACGCTTAACCGACTGAGCCACCCAGGCACCCCCTAGCCTGTGGGATTCTTAACCAACCTCCTGGGCCACTGTGCTGTATCTGGTGGGCTCCCCAGTGACCAGTGTCACACACGACTGCCTGGAATATAGATTCGACAGCTCCTCATTCCCCTGGTAATTCTCCCACGTTTACTGCTAACCCAGTTGGCCACCTTGAGAATGACCAGGGTAGTGCTTGCCAGCAAGGGATGGAATGGTGGCGTTCACACGTGGGGTTTCCTTTCCCTGTGCGTTGAAGGCTAGATCCTGAAGGACCCAGGGGCAGGAGGACCAGTGAGGCTGTGGCTAAAGTCCCTCTCCACGTCCCAAGGGTGGGCGGTGGGTGGGAAGAGGGTGGTGCTGACCACCAGCCAAACTCGGAGAAGGGGGAGGTAGGGTGTGAAAGGCAGCCTTTGGCAGTGGGAGAATGGCTTCCATCTCAAGGCTGGCGTTCCTGCCGATGCTGCCACTAGGGGGCAGTCACGAGACCCTCGGCAGTCTTCCTGGCTAATCGCACCGCTGTCTCTCACTTTGTTTATTGCAGGGGAAAAAAGGATGATGTTTGTGAAATGAGTAGCCTGTGACTGACGCACAGTAGGTGATTAGTAAAATAAATGGCTGTGCTGTTGCTCTTAATGGCAGCGAGGCAGTTACACTACTTCTTGCCCTACCTACGCTCAATGTGTCCTCCTCCTAAGAGATGCCTGGTATTGGCTTCATAGTGGCACGGACATGCACCGGGAATCTGTGTTAGGAACCGTGGACCTCAAGGGGTGGAAGACCCAGTCGTGGAACTGAGTGGGGGCAGAAGACAGACCTGTAAATGAGTGATTACAAAGGAGTGCATGATAATAACCCCAGAAGTGTGGACGAAATACAACAGATTACAAAGGTGGGTATGGGTGAGACAGGCAGGCAGGGGGAGCTTAACAGAGGTTGGGTGTTAAAGGAAGAATAAAAGGGGGGTGCCTGGGTGGCTCAGTCGGTTGGGTGTCCGACTTCAGCTCAGGTCATGATCTCGCAGTCTGTGAGTTCGAGCCCCGCGTCGGGCTCTGTGCTGACAGCTCGGAGCCTGGAGCCTGCCTCGGATTCTGTGTCTCCCTCTCTCTCTGTCCCTCCCCTGCTCATGCTCTGTCTCTCTCTCTCTCAGAAATAAATAAAAACATTTAAAAAAAAAAATAAAGGAAGAATAAAAGGAGCGCCTGGGTGGCTCGGTCGGTTGTGTCTGTCTGACTTCAGCTCAGGTCATGATCTCACAGTTTGTAAGTTCGAGCCCCGCTTCGGGCTCTGTGCTGACAGCTCGGAGCCTGGAGCCTGCTTCAGATTCTGTGTCTCCCTCGCTCTCTGCCCCTCCCCTCCCTGGCTCATGCTCTGTCTCTCTCTCTCTCAAAAAACAGATAAACATTAAAAAAATAAATAAATAAAGGAATAAAAGTTCGTCAGACTGTCAAGGTGTCCCAGGGTGGGGAGTCTGGGCCAGGAGGAATGAGCTCTGCCCACTCGGAGGACAACATGGGCCCTGAGTGTCACAGGAGCAGCGGGGAGAGAGCACAGCTGTGCTGTGAGGAGTCTATCATTATCCCGAGGACAGTGCAGGACTATTGAACGCTTTTCAGCAGGGACACGGCTAAGACACAAATTTTAGACTCTCCAACAGCCTGGACTAGGTTTGGGGCGAGGGGAAGAAGAAAACAGTTGTGTGGGTTAAACATTTCCTCTGATCTCGATTTTGATCTTCGATTTTGATCTTGAAACACACTTCTAGGGAACCACACAAGCAAATCAGAAAGCGCTACGCAAATATTAATTATTAGGTGATACTACTGTCCACAAACACGGTCTCGGGGGCTTTCTCTACAGCTGGGATGTAGCTCTGCTTCCAAATCTGCAGACTCCGGGGATGGAAGGGACCCCTGCAGAGTCTCCCGTGTCCCAGCTAACGTGGTCCCTTTCTCCAGAGGCCCAGTAGGGCAGCCGAGGTGGTGACCGCCTGCCTGCCTGGAGGCCCCGAGAGGATGGCCCCTGAGGACAGGCTGGAAAGGCCACAGATCAGGCAAGAGCCTGGCAAGAACAGGCAAGAGGCAGAACAGCCTCAGCCCTCAGCCCTCCATCCTAGAGCCCGAGGGCGTGGCTGACCCACAGACTATCCAGCCTCTACTCCAACAACCCCAGGTTCAGGAGACCCACCACTTCTGGGCTGCGCTGTGTCAACCCCTCACCTCCATCTAACCCTCCCCCCCTCCTCCCCAACATACTCTGTCAGCCCTGGCTCTGCCCTCCAGAACTCTGTAGGACAATGTAAAGCCCCTTTGCATGACAGGCCTTCACCGTCTCCAAGTGATCGTGTCCTATGGGAGTGATGGTTGCCTGGCAACCTCCGTTGGGGGACCTGCAGCCCTACAGGGCTGTGGACCTCGGGAAAATTACCTCGCACATGCCCCTCTGCGCTCTGGTATGTGCACGGTGGCAAAACTGGGTTACGTAATATCAAGCGGAGCCTTGGCGGGGCAGAGAATTTAGAGTGGCAATCAGAGGGTGGACGGGGTTAGGGTTACAGCGGGCGCAGGGGTTTATCCGGGGCTCTAGGAGGGAGGAGGCATCACCTTCTTCTCCACCCACTGCTTGAAGCACCTGCCACCCTTTGCGGGCAGCAAACACGGTGCCAGTCCCAGAGGAGCCGTGCAGAGCGTCCTGCCGAGCAGGCTGGCTCGTTTTAGAAGAAAATCTCATCAAAGAGCATCAAAAACATTAGCACTGGGAGGGGCCTCACGACATCAGGGCCTTGAGGACAAAAGAGGGACTGTGACTTGCTGAAGGTCAAAGTCTTTGTGCTAATGAGTGATGCTGGAGGCCAAAGAGTTTAGGACTCTGGCCTTCAGGCCTCCACGCCACCCCATGTCAGCTATGGCAAGGGACCAGACTGTCTTACTCCCTTCTGGGGCCCCAGGGCCTGGTAGAGCCGGTGCTCAGGGAATGAATGAATGACCTGAGTTCTGAAATCATTTGCTCAACTGTGAATTCGGATTTATTTTCCCCACAGGAAGCAGGAAGGGTATGAACATGGGTCCGCAGAATGGCGGGATCTGAATCCCAGGCTGTGTGACTCTGTCACGCTACATAACCTCTCTGTGCCTCACTTTTCTCATCCATAAAATAAGGGTAGTATATAGCCCCTGCCTTACAGGAATAAGGGTTAAATGAATTCATGGTACGTAAAGCGCTTACAATGGTACCTGGAACATAGCACGCTCTTCTTAAGGGTTTGTGACTATTGTTTTTTCCCCCTTTTTCTCATTTCTAGTGGGTGTATTGCTTCTCTGCCTGAAATCTGGGGTTCTTCCTTTCCCTTAGGAAAGCCTAAGCCCACAGGCACAATGATGCCAGGTGTCTGTGGGTGGGGAAGAACCGTGGCATCTGAGAAGCTGCCAGCAGGGAAGCAGGGGCCCCCAGAGGAATAAAAGCTGGGATCTGTGGTTTTCTGGAAGCGGCCCAGCCTTGCCTCCAGCTCCTGCTCTGGGGAGATGGCCGCATGGCAGGGAAGGGCCCGGCCCTGGTAAGATCCCTGCGACCCAAGCAGCAACAGAAACTTCAGGGGCCACCTGGGCTGAAGGAAAGGTAGATGAAAAGTATCTCCCCGGCACTCGGGCCAAACTCCGTTGAGTGATGAGTGGCCTACGGTGGGAAGGAACCCGTGTCCCTGGCTGGGGGCGGGGGACAGACGGGGGAAAATAAAGAAAGGCGGTGTTGCTTTACAGACCTGAGCTTGGAACTCAGAACCAGGAGCTTGTAAACCAGGAGGGAGCAGCAGGGGGCCCTTTTCTGTGGGTACGGGTGCCAGCTGACCCTGCCTGTGTTGCTACCCGGCTTGGCCTGAGGGTCCCTCCATTCCCTGGGGGAATCCTTCTGGCAAAAAAGCACCATGTGGGTTTCCTAAATGAATGAAATTGAGCACGCCCCTCCCGCCCCCCAAAACACCTTGTTCCTGCAGCCTTCCTCACCTCCGCTGACCGGCAACTGCATCAGTCCAGATGCTCCGGCTAAAACCCCGGAGTCATCCCTGACCACCCCACATACCCTGAAACCAACAGGCTTCCAAACTCTGTGTACTCTGGCTTCAAAATATGCTCTCAGTACTTTCGTGCCCCCGGCTGCTCCCACCCCACTCCAAGCCCCTACGGGCTCCCGTCTGGGTTCCCGTGCAGCCTCCCGACAGGTCTCTCAGCACCTGCCTTTGACCCCCTCTATAAGAGTGGTTCTCCGTGCCGCATGGACAACAGGCCGTGAGTGAGACAGGTAAAACGTCAGGCAGATCACCTCCCCTACCCAGAACCCCTCGTCGGCTCCCGGTTTCACCCAGAGTCTAAGGCCAAAGCCCTTCCTTGGCCGTCGGGGCCTCCCTGGTCTGGCTTCAACATCTCAGGCCTGGCCCACCCCGCCTGCGCTGGGCTCCCCCAGCTTCCCCAAATGCGCCAGGAAGCTCGCCCACGGGAGGGCCTCTGTTCTCGCTACCCCCTGGGCCAGCCGCCACTGGCCACTCCCCTCTCCTTTCGCCTCTGCTCGCCTGTCACCCCCCTCTCGGCAAGGCCTCCCCTGCCCACCTTCAAAGCTGTGCTCCACTCTACTCCCTGCCTGGCTTTTCTTCTCAGCCTCCCCCGCCTGGCGCTGTGGCCGCGGGCTTTGGGACTCTCCCCGACCCTCGGCATCGCGCGGCGGGGCCAGAACCGGCCGAGGGCAGCTGGCGGGCGCCGTACCTGTTTGATGGCGAGGTTGACCACCTCGTAGCGGTTAACGCGGCCCAGGGGCAGGCAGAAGCTGTAGAGAGCGTGCAGGGCGGCGCAGAGGAAGCTGAGGAGGCCCAGCTGCTTGCGGTGCTGCAGCCAGTGGTCCAGCCAGTCAGGGAAGCGGCGGTACTTGGTGCCCCGGCGCAGCTGCAGGGCGGCCGCCAGCACGCCGGGCAGGTACACCAGCGACAGCAGCACGTAGGCCACGCACGGCAGCGTCGTGTTGACCACGGACACGGGGAGCTTGTAGAACTTGCTCTTGCCGTCCCGCACGTAGGGCTGCAGGACGTCGCGGATGAAGTTGTAGACGTAGAAGAAGGTGAAGAGGCCCAGGGCCAGGAGGGCGGGCACCTTCCAGCCTGGGAGGAGGCGCAGGGGCATGGCCTCCACCTCCCGGGCCGAGGCCAGGGACCCCATGTCCACGGGCATGAAGCCCATGGCCCGTACCACCTCCGAGACAGTACGCTGGCTCTCCTGGCTGGATCTGCACATGGGCACCTGTGGGGAGGCTAGCGGGGCTGGGTGGGACGGTACACTGGCCCTGAGTCGCCGAGCCTCCCGAGAGCCCCTCGGCCAAATCCCTCACTAAGACTTGCGAGGGAACCCAGGCCTAGGGAACCGCACAGAAATGTTCCTGACTCCCGGTCCAGGGTCTTTCCTCGGCCCCCTATAGCCACCCAGCTCCCCCGCTCCAGCACGCCCCCTACGTAAAGAGAGGACCCAGGGCTCACCTGACAGACGAGCATTTCTAGCCTCATTGCCATCAGCAACCGCGAGCCACTGCATCCTCAGGCAGCCTCCAGGTCCATCCCTGGAACTGGTGCTTGAGAACGTGGCCTGCTCTGGGGGTCCACCAGCTTGGCTTATGGGTTCCAGGTCTGGTCTGTGGGCTGACAGCTGCATCCCCTAGTCCACATCCCCTTTCTGATGGTGTCCCCCCCCTGTGGCCCTCACCAGCCCACGTATGCGCTCCCAGCTCTTGCCGCCTCACGCTTCCCACCATGAGTCCCTGTGGCACATTAGCTGCCCCTCAGATCTCTCAACACGGGTTGCTGGCTCATGACTGTATATTATGGCTCGTCTGCTCCATTCTCAACACTGTTCAGCCCTGTTCTATGTCTTGTGGCTTGTGCACAGGCAGTCCTCTACAGCCTGAGGTTAGAGCGACGCCCATTTTTCATGAGGAAACCAGGTCCAGGGCATCATTTCTCCTGTACCTTTGCAGGTTGTCCTCAGCCTGAACGCCCTCCCTCCCCTGAACCCCTGACAAATTTAGATGACCGGTAGCCAAGCTGACCTTGAAGTCACTCCCAGCCATGCCAGTTCTGTTCCCTGCAGGCCCCTGCCACTAGACCCCCCTCACCTGCTGTCCCATTGCCTATCCACACTAGGAGTCCCCATGAATTGCTCAGGTAGGTGCTCCAAGTAGGGTGGGAGAGACACTGTGGGCTCTCCCACGGCTGGCACAGAGCTGGGCAGAGGAGGCATCTGAGCTGGACAGATTGGTAGAGGTTCTCACACTAGAGCCAGACATCCTTCCTCCAGGAAAATGGAGTGGGCTACATGCTGTAAACCCCACCCTCATCAGGGCCTGGGTGGCTTGAAGCCTGCGTCACGTCCATTCAGCCAGGTCAATGACTGCCAGTTTGTGAGTTCGAGCCCCTGCCAGGCTTCCTGGGTGATGGCTCAGAGCCTGAGCCTGCTCTTCCTGTGTCTCCTCTCTCTCTGCCTCCCCTGCCTCATGCTCTGCTCCTTTGTCCAAAAAATAAATAAACGTTGAAAAAAAAAAATTAAAAAAAAAAAAATAAATAAATAAAATAAAACCACCTCATCTTCACAAAAGCCCCTCCTGCCAAGAACTGTATGCAGCTTTGGCCATTTCCTGGAGCCATTTTCCACCTCTAGACAAAACCTACTATTGACAATTCTGAGAAACCGACTCAGCTCTTGGAAGCTCTTGGAATCAAAGAGCTGAAGTTTGGGACTTGCCTGCTTCCTCAGAACCTGGCACATAAATGTGTTACTTTCCTAAGTCCACTCTCAGAGCAAAGTCTCTCCTCTCCTCGACTCCAAGTAGTCAAAAGAAAGCCATCAACCTCTTCCTCTTGGCCCACTGGGAAATCAAGTTGTCACAGAAGAACGAACATGGATTTCAGATCCATATGAACTCGGTTCACACCCAGCTCTCCAGCTGTGGGACTTGGTGTAAGCAAGTTCATTGACATTCATGAGCCTCAGTTTCCCGCTCTGTAAAATGGAACTTTGCAGCGATGGGAGGCGCGCTGAGATAATGCGCGTAAAGAGCCTGGCATACCGAGGGCCCTCAACAAATGTTAGCCACTTATATTTATTGTGATGATGGTAGGTATTCCCCTGGCACTTACCTGCCTGTTCCCATCCCTCGGGCCGGACTGCAGGGTCCAGGCAGAGATGACGTTGAAGGCCTTGACCACCATGCAGGTGGGGAAGAGGGAAGCCAGGTACTCAGCATTGGACTCATGGTGCCGAAGGTGCTCCTGCTCTGTGGGGTTGCTCACATCCACGAGGATCTTGCCAGCCAGCTGGTCACTGAGACCGCACAGTGAGGAGTAGTGCTCCCGGAACATGGCCACAAAGATGACATCAGGGGACTCCACTGCATCCGCCTGGAAAGTCACTTGTGCGGCCGAGGGGAACAGCCCGGCCGTGCGTTTGGGGTTGCGGCTTCCCACCACCACGCTGAAGCCGGAGCTCACCAGGCGTGCGGCCAGGGAGCGGGCGAAGTCTCCGCTGCCCAGGATCCCCACCTTGGGGGCCTCCCTGGGGACCTCAGCAAGGCTCCCATCACTGTCCAGCAGGTGGCGGCTGATCAGCGGCTTGTCCATCTCTCCTGACATCTTGGTGGCTGGAAAGAAAAACAGAACTTGGTCAGCGGAGAGCTCCGATGACCGTCTTTCGTAGCACCTTCCTCTTTCTTGTCCACTGTAACCACATGGTGGTCAAAGAATCCCCAACAGCCCTTCAGGAGTGTTAACTTGTGCCAGCACAGGGGGACAAGCTGGGTGAGACCTAGCGCCTTCCCAGGGAGGGCCCAAACTCAGGAAGAAAGGGGAGGACCTCTGCCCTCCACCCTTTGGCTTTCATCCTGAACTGTTTCCTTGGGACAAATCTGCAAGCGTGCTGCGAGAGAAGCATATAGAATTTCCATGAGGGGTGCCACACAGTGCCATCCTTCTTTTCAAAGGAGGATGTGACGATTACCGCCCAGAAGGGACCCTCATCTCACCACTGCTGGGTGTTCTCCGATTACCAGGAAGGGCGACGTGTTCTTGTGCCTGTTTACATTTTGCATTCTGGGAAGGCGCCTCTGTGCTCTTCCTTGAGTAGAGGATGAGCAGCTTGAAGGCAGGGGGACCTCATCTTATTTGACTTTGGGTCTCCCCATTGGTCACACGGCCTAGTACAGAGATGGTGCTCAATGTTTGCTGAATGAATGAGTGAACACTGAAATCCTGCTCTCAGGAGGTAGAACTGGAGTGAGACATGACAGTGAGTGGGGCCCTGAGATCTCCTTTACTGAGCCTGACATATGAGAGAACATGGGGGAAAACCCGGACTTGGGCCAGAAGCTTCTAGTAAACTTGGGTAAGGGAACATTCTGCTGTCATTGTCACCAACTTTTTTTTTTTTTTTTTTTTTTTACGTTTATTTATTGTGAGAGAAAGCATGAGTGTGCGAGCAGGGGAGGGGCAGAGAGAGACAGCAGAGAGAATTCCAAGCGGGCTCCGTGGTGTCAGCGTGGAGCCCAATGCGGGGCTCGATCCCAAGAACCATGAGATGGTGACCCGAGCCAAAATTAAGAGTCAGATGCTTACCTGACTGAGCCACCTCGCTTCCCCTGTCACCGACTTCTAACTGAAATTTGCAATTTCCCTCAAGTATGAATGTTCGTAGCAAAACACAATAGTATTAGCAGGACCTGTGAGGTTGTCACCAGTACTGGCCGGTGTCATATCCCAAGTTTAATTGTGAAAGAGTTCTTCAAATACTATTTAAGCTTTTCACTAACTTAAAATCATAGTACCTATGAGCTCCTAAACATATAAAGCAAATATTAACAGATGTGAAAGGAGAAATAGACGGCAATACAACGATAGGGGACTGCACTATCCCGCTTTCAACAATGGATGCAGACAGAAAATCAGTACAGAAACTGGACTTGAACTACACTTCAGACCAAATAAACCCAACAGACCACACAGAGCATCCCATCCAACAGCAACAGAATACAAGTTTTCTTCACGTATCCACAGAATATCCTCCAGGATGGATCCTATGTTAAGTCATAAAACAAGTCCTACAAATTTAAGAAGATTTAAATCATATAAAGCATCTTTTCTGTATGTTTTTAATGTTTACTTATTTTTGAGAGAGACAGAGAGAGAGCGGGGAGGGGCACAGTGAGAGAGAAAGAGACACGGAATCCCGAGCAGGCTCCAGGCTCCGAGCTGTCAGCACAGAGCTGGGCGCGGGGCTCGAACCCGTGAACCGTGAGATCGTGACCTGAGCCGAAGGCAGACGCTCAACCGATGGAGCCACCCGGGCGCCCCTGTTTCTTTTCTGCCCACAATGGCATGTAACTGGAAGACTGGAAGATTCACAAATAAGTGGAAACGAAGCAATGCACTCCTGAACAACCGATGAGAAGAAATCAAAAGGGAAATCCAAAAAAATCTTGAAACAGATTAAAATGGAAGCTCAGCACACCCAACTTATGGGATGCAGCGAAAGCAGCTCTAAGAGGGATGTTTGTAGCTTGATGCCACCTTATGAAAAAAGAAAGTTCTCAAACAACCTACCTTTACACCTCAAAGAACTGGAAAAAGAGTAAGAAAGTCCAAAGTTCTAGCAGGGAGAAGTAAATAATAAAATTCAGAGTAGAAACAAGTAAAATAGAGGCTAGAAAAAGAATAGAAAAGATCAACAAAACTAAGACCTGTTTTTTTTTTTTTTTTTTTCAAAAGACAAACAAAATTGACCAAATTTTAGCTACACTAAGAAAAAATAAGAGGGGCGCCTGGGTGGCTCAGTCGGGTGAGTGTCCGACTTCGGCTCAGGTCATGGGTGATCTTGAGGTTCCTGAGTTCGAGCCCCGTGTCGGGCTCTGTGCTGACAGCTCAGAGCCTGGAGCCTGCTTTGGATCCTGTGTCTCCCTCTCTCTCTGCCCCTCTCCCACCTGCGCTCTGTCTCTCTCTCAAAAAATAAAAATAAAAATAAAGAAAAAGAAAAAAAAAGAAAAAAGACGACTCCAAATAAAAAAATGAAAGGTACATTGCAACCGATACCACAGAAATACCAAAGATCATAAGAGACCATATTATGAACAATTATATGACAACAAATCGGACAACCCAAAGAAAATGAATACATTCCTAAAAACTTACAATTCACCAAGACTGAATCATGAAGCAATAGAAAGTCTGAACAAGCCAATAATGAGTAAGGTGACTGAATCAGTGAAAAAACAAAACAAAACAAAACAAAAAATCACCCAATAAAGAAAAGCCCAGGACTGGCTGGCTTCCCTGGTGAATTCCACCAAGGATTTCAAGATTTAATGCTTACCCTTCTCCAACTATTCTAGGTTCATTTTATGAGGCTTGTGTTACCCTGGTACTAAAGCCAGGTAAGCACACTATAAGAAAAGAAAATTACAGGCTGATATCCTTGATGAACACAGACGAAAAAATCCTCGACAAACTACTACCCAACTAAATTTAACAGCACATTAAGATGATCCTATACTTGGGACGCCTGGGTGGCTCCGTCGGTTAAGCGTCTGACTTCGGCTCAGGTCATGATCTCGCGATCTGTGAGTTCGAGCCCCGCGTCGGGCTCTGTGCTGACAGCTCAGAGCCTGGAGCCTGTTTCAGATTCTGTGTCTCCCTCTCTCTCTGACCCTCCCCCGTTCATGCTCTGTCTCTCTCTGTCTCAAAAATAAATAAACATTAAAAAAAAAAAAAAGATGATCCTATACCACCATCGAATGAGATTCATTCCTGGGACGCAAAGATAGTTCAACATGCACAAACCAATAAATAAAATGTGATACCCATCAACAGAATGAAGGATAAAAACCATGTGGTCATATCAATAGATGTGAAAAAAAGCATTTGACAAAAGTAAACATCCTTTTATGATAAAAACTCTCAAAAATATTGGTATTGAAGGAGTATTCCTCCACATAATAAAAATTATATATGACAACCCCATACCCGACATCATACTCAATAGTGAGAAGCTGAAGGCTTTTCCTCTAAGATCAGGAACAGGAAGGATGCCCCTCTTGCCACTTCTATTAAACATAGTACGAGATATCTTACCCAGAGAAGTTAGGCAAGAAAAAGACAGAAAAGGCATCCATATTGGAAAGAAAGAAGTAAAATTTGTCTCTGTTTGCAGATCACATGATCCTACATATAGAAAACTCTAAAGACTCCATAAAAAAATCCTGTTAAAACTAAGAAACTAATTCTGTAAAGCTGCTGGATACAAAATCAACTTACAAAAATCAGTTGTGTTTCTTTTATTAGTTTATTTATTTATTTTGAGAGGGAGACAAGTGGGGAGGGCCAGAGAGAGAGGGAGAGAGAATCCCAAGTAGACTCCATGCTGTCAGCACAAAGCTGGAAGCACAGCTCGATCTCACCAATGGTGAGATCATGACCTGGGCTGAAATTGAGTCAGGCACTTAACCGACTGAGCCACCAGGCACCCAAGTTATGTTTCTAAGTGCTAACAATGAGCTAGCTGAAAAAGAAATTAGGGAAACAATTCCATTTACAATACCATCGAAAAGAATAAAATACTTAGGAATAAATTTTATCAAAAGGTGAAAGATCTGTATATAGAAAACTCTGAAACAAGGACGAAAGAAATTCAAGACACAAATAAACAGAAAGATAGCCTATGTTCATGGATTGAAAGAATTAATGTTGTTAAAATGTCCATAGTACCCAAAGTGATCCATAGACTTAAAGCAATCACTATCAAAATTCCAATGGCATTTTTCACAGATATATGAAAAACAATCCTAAGATTTGTATGGAACTGCCGAAGACCCCAACAGCTAAAGCAACCTTGAGCAAGAAGGACAAAGCTGGAGGCATCACACTTCCTGACTTCAAATTACATTACAAAGCTATAGCAATCAAAACAGTGTAATACTGGCATAAAAAGACACATAGATCAATGGAATGAAATAGAGTCCAGAAATAAACCCATGCATATAAGGTCAACTAATCTTCAACCGAGGTGCCAAGAATACTCAATGGGGAAAGGACAGTCTCTTCAATAAATGGTGCTAGGAAAACTGGATATACGCATGCAAAAGAATGAAACTAGACCCTTACCTCACACCATACACAGAAACCAACCTAAAATGGATTAAGGACTTACTCAAAAAGGATGTAAAACCTGAACTGTATAACTTCTAGAAGGAAACATGGGAAAAGGCTCCTTGACATATGTCTTGGCAATGATTTTATTTTGTTTTGGTTTTTGACTTAATACCAAAGGCACAGGCAACAAAAGACAAATAAGTGGGATGACATCAAACTAAAAAGCCTTTGCACAGCAAAGGAAACAAAATGAAAAGGCAACCTATGGAATAGGATAAAATATTTCTAAACCATCTATCCAACATAGGAGTAATTTCCAAAATATGTAAGAACTCATACGACTCAGTAGTAAACAAAACAGGGGCTCCTGGGTGCCCCAGTTGGTTAAGCATCTGACTTTGGCTCAGGTCATGACCTCACGGTTCGAGCCCCCCATTGGGCTCTGTGCTGACTGCTTAGAGCCTGAAGCCTGCTTGGGATTCTGTGTCTCCCCCTCTCGCCCCTC